ATAGAAGCACCCACACTTTTATAACTACACAAAAGACTTTTTTTTCTCTTTTAATTACAACCTATGCATTTTTAGAATTGCTTTTTACAAATATAGGGTATAACATAATTTTAGAAGTTTTTCTAATCTAGAGGGGTTTTTAAGTCTTGTACAATGATGGCTTAAGAGCATAATTTCATCTACACCACACTGTTTTCCATATGGAGCTTTTTTGCTGACTTTGAACAAAAGTAAATGGATGCAAATTCTGGCCTGAAATAATTTGAGCTAGCAATTACAGTTAAATACACACATCTTGCATGAGTTCCTTGTTGCTCAGTGAAGGTACTCCAAGTGTGCTTGACTTCATGCTGTACCAAATTTTATTGTAGTAATTGTTAGCCCATTATGGACCAAGTTTTCAACCATTGGATGCATTAACGTGCCCAAAGTGTACGAACATTTCACAGGTGCAGCTTCATGTATGCCTTTTATATAAACTCTTAGAGAAAAAAAACTAGAATGTCTTTTAGGTGTTTTCAAGAGAAGCTGCAAAGTGCCAGCATGGGTATAGATGTAGAAACTCACACTCTGGGACAAAGGCAAATCAACAGTAGGTAAAGACCGTAAAAGTACACATCTTTATAGAGGTTATCTCTCATAACAGTGTGTATGCAAAAGCATTGGCTAGTAATATACAGCTGTCAATGTATTTTTTTCCTGTTACTCTCTTCTCTGCTTTTTTAAATACTTTAGGACAATGCTGGGAGATAGCTTGCCCACTCCAGACCATGCAGCTAGGATAAGTGAAGCACCTCCTAATCTAGTTAGCTATATGGGCCTTTCATTGTCAAACATGTTGCACAAATGCATCACATTTCCTTTAAATTCATTTTTCAGGTTATTTCTTAAACCACTAAGGATTTTACATATGAAAGTCACTCACAGATATAATTTATAAACCTATTTCATGACTTACCTTCTGAAAAATACCTCTCTACTTACTCTTCCACCTTTTTCTTTGTTTTCTCAAAAATGCCAATTTGTCTGCTGAGTTTCTTTCCCTTGTAAGATACATTTCTGCCTTGCTAACTAGCTTCTGCTCTAAGCAGAACTTGACACAAAACCACAAAAAAACCACAACATCTCCTGCCAGTTCTTAAAACACAAACAGTAACCTGCTCTTGTTCAGAAACTCTTTCAGGGTATGAAGATACACACAACATGGCACCTTGAATTTTGGGTAGATACAGATACACAAAGGATGTGAGAAGGACCAGTAGGTTTTTGTTAAACCCTTGTCATTTTTAGGGACACAGGTTTATAGAAACCAACATATCTTTGAGAACTGTAACAGAAGGTAAAAAATGGTTCAATCAGTTCAGAAAGCTCATATAATGAAATATGAAATAGCAAGAAGTGCTTGGGAGAGGAAGAGTGAGCATGTTTTCTGCTAAGAGAAATCCCATTTTTGACCTTATTTGTTAACCTCCCAATTGGTGAAACTGTGGAAGGATTAATTACACAGCCTTCATAATGGCTGTACAGAAATGGCATCTTCTTAATTCTTCAAAGCAAGGTGGTTCTGTAAAAGTAATAGAGTATGTCTAGGTTTTTTTCTTTGATAAATGTGTTCATTTTCTGGAAGCTGTTGGACTTCTGCATATGGCAGGTATTACAGTGCATTGTGGTGGTTCGTATCATTTTTGTCTGCCTTTCATCAGAGTGTCTGTCATAGCTTGCTACTTTCATGCTGATTAAACTATGCCTGTACCAGAAACCTTATCATTGTTTTCAGGCAAATCTAGTTGATTCAAAAGATTTAGAAGTGCATATAACTCATGGCTCTAGAAGTATTTTGTGGGCTTCTCTTGGGTAGTCTGATCAGCATTTTCATAGATCAGCAGTTGTTACAAAGGTATTTGAAGTGTACAAACGTGTTGTACTCAACAAAAGTCTCAAAAATTTATCCATCTCCCCACCCTATTGACCAGAATGACAGCTAATACACGCTAATGACAGCTTCATTGTGCTGTCAAATACCACATCCTTTAATTGTGATTAATGATGTTGCCCTCATGTTCAGGATGCTTCAGGAATTTGGGGCACCATTTTTCTTATTGAAACTTGCTCACCTGTTGGTGGTCCAGTGCTCTTTTTTCAACACTTCTCTGACAGTCAATCCATAGTGCTGGAAACACGCCTCAGATCCTGGAGGTAATTTACACCCAAACATCTCAGCTCCTGTCAGTAGCTTTCATTTGAAATAGCTCAGATGGAATTTCAAGTGAGGAAGCTTTCCC